TGTCCGTTTGCGTTTGATTTGATGCGTTGCTTGATGGGACTTTCCTGGGCCCTGACGTGTTCCAGCTCTGTGGTCTGTGGAGTTGGCGCGCAGAGCATCTTGGCCAATCTCCGATTTGAGGTTCTTGGTCAGCAGGGATGGCAGACGCAATATGGGTGGACAGTGACCTGGGCCAAACCGCTACCAGGGGCTCGCGTCCTACCTAAACCGTCTAAAAAGTTCACGAAGGCCAGACCCATCATTGCTTGCGACATGTGTTGGCGTGCGAGGCTGACTACCTTCTTGGCAAGGGCCCTTTATCAGATTAGATATGCGTGTTTCCCTTCGGGTAGCACCTTCAACATTGACTCAACCTTGACGGCAATGCGTCATATGTGGAGCATGATGCAGGTTACCCTTGAACCTTCCCATTTGGTGCAGCAGGACTTGGTCGGCTTTTGCAACTCGGTTCCCCATGATCGCATCCTGAAGTCCTTACTTACAGTTTGTGCTGCTTCAACTTGCCCAAACCGCAGGTGCGACAAAAGGACAAGAATTTCCGCATCTTTCGCGGATCCAAGAGGTTTGCAGCACGTCAAACCACAACCTTGTTGAATTCAGGACCTTCGAGATCTTGTTGGATTTTTGCTTCGATCCAGCTACTTTACATGTGGACAAAATGCTTTCAGGCAGATATAAGGCGCAGCTATGGGGCCAGCCATTGCACCAGTTTTGTGCGCAATGGTAGCGAACACCGCTGAATTCATTCTGCTGAAGCATTTTCGCACCGCTATGAACTCTGCAGGCCTCCGTAATGGTTTCAGATATGCGGACAATCGTGCCTTTCTGTTGTCAGAAGGCAACGTGACTAATCCATGGCGACACTTGCTTCATCATTTGGAGTTTTACGGATCACCCATCATTTTGGAGAACGTCTCGGGGAGGAGCGTTTTCGGCCCGACTTGTTCCATACAACAAGGAGCGATAATTGTTCGGCAACCAGTACGTAGATGCCACCATGCTGAGAACGTTGAGGTCAGTTGGCAGTCAGCGACACGTCGTGTCATCGTGCGAATTCACGTCCGTTGGCTTTAATTCGACCACAGGTGGAGGACAATTAATTAATTGAAATCTACCGTGGTAGGGGTTTTTCTCGTCATGAACTTGTACAGATGGCGCGCGCGTCGGGCAGCTCTCTAGGCGTCCGGGTCTAAACAGGTGTGATGGTGCTTTTGCGCTCTATGCCGCAACTCAGGGTCTCTAGGAACCCAGGCCATGGCGTTGCAGCGTCTTCCTCGAAAAGCAATTCTCATACTTTTTGAGTTCTTGCAGTTTGAAACCGTCGTCAGGTCTAAGCTCGTGCAGTGTCGTGGCGCAGACAACTTTCTGCAATGGAAGACTTGGTTGGATGCATGGCAAAGGATTGTAACCGAAATGAGAGATGTGGACTTTTCTAGCTGCAATTTTGAGTCCATCTGTGGGTACAGCATCAGTGTCCGAGTCCGGCATTTTCATCCTGTCACAGCTCGAACCTTCTGCTCATTGTCGGCAGCTACATGTGCTGACGCAGCCAAATTCAAACCCGCCTTTGTTGAAATGTACATTCCTGCTGCAGGCTACGTCGCATTTGTTTCCGTTACCATTGTCAAAGGACCCATGTGCTTTACTCCGCTTGAAGTGGCGCCTTGCTTCACAACTTCTTGTCGTCGTAGATTGTGTTCAAGCTTAGCGTGATTGCTGCCATGTCTGATTCATGTGCGGTACCTCATCCGGTGGTAAGTCCAGATGTTCATGACCAGGAACCTGACCTCCTTTGACGGCCGCGGACTATGATCGTTTGTTGCGGATGTTGCAGGAGAATCAAACTGAACACGTTCAACTACGGAACAACCTCTACCGCCTACAACAGGATGTGGCCCGACCTCATGCCCCTTTCAGTTTTTTGTGCAACACATGATGCAGGTAGAACTAGTAGCAACGCGCTACAACCCGGGTCCTTAAGCGCAGCGCTAAAAAGACCTTGCTTAGCACAGCTTGCGCGTGTGACTTGTCACGTGGACGTCTCGCAGGTTGGTTTTGTTGCGTGAGCGTTTCTCTCAAGCCAAAATTTAGTTACCATCATGCACTACATGGTCGATCCTGTTTTTGAGAGCTTGAACAGATCGACGGCGTGTGGGACCACCTACAAGGATCCCGGATCGGTACCTGATGCCACAATTTGCTGCGGATTTTCTTGCCTGCCAACTTTATCGGGTTTCATGGGGAGAGGAAAAGTCAGCGCAGATGGTCAGCGCACATCACTGTGAACTCATGCTGTTAGGGGAGCTGGACATGTGGAGATGCGTCAAAAAGAAAGTTGGAGATTACTCCACAACCTCCAGCCCCTGTAGTTTCAGAGTTGCAGTCGCAAGCAGGGCAGGCATCTCAGCCCTCGCAACCTGCAGAGGCAGCTGTTCCCAAGACCACAACTCCAGGAGGTAAAACCTCGCGGGGACGTGGCAAAAAGGGAAGATCTTGATGGTCTATCCCCAGAATTTTCGTTTCTGCGCTTTCCTCAGCAGTGCCAGCCATTTCTGTTTGCCCCATTCAAGGATCGCAGCTACCCTCAATCAGATCCTTGACTTTTCTGGGCCCACAAGGACATCCTGCGTCAGCGCTTGGAGGACCTTTTGAATTTTTCTAAAACTTCAGAGCAACTTTGATGGATCAATCCTCCTAACATTCCCATCAATGATGTGATGCAGGCTCTCTTCTCTTTTGATCAGGTAGCTGATACATTCGAAATTTCCAAAGACAATCACTACCCCAGAAGCTCATGCACAAATTCATCAGGCTTGGATGGGATCCGGATACAGCATGGGATTAAAGATAATGGCGCATCAGGATGGGAAGTAATTTTGCAGAGTTCTAGAAGCAAGCTCATGCGTTCAATCAATGGTAACACTAGATTGATTCTAGATCACAACTTTAGTGAAGTTTCGGGAAGGTTGTTACTGAATCTTAACTCCTTCTTACCTTATCCCCCCAATCAACTTGGTCAGTCCTATTCTAGAAGTACACTTCTCAGCTTTAGATGTACGTCTACGCAAGATGAAGATCACACACTTCCGACCGCAACTCCAATTTTGTGCGCCGCGCCCTCCGCCGACCCTCCTATCAAAATCTTCTCCAACACAGGACAAGTCTTCTTTAATCAGAAACCTAAGTCCCATAGGCCTCACCCAATTAGGGAATTTAAGAATTCAGCTATGAGCCGATCACCGCCTCCCAGAGGCGTGCCGGGAACACCTTCATGGGGGTTACGAAGAGTGTCCAAGCCCAACTAAGGTGGCCAAAGAAGTGCCTAGGGGCACCGTCAAGCGAAGGATGCGAAGACGCGCCTATCGCAGATGGTTAGGCATTTCACTCAACTAATGGTGAAAGGGCCGGGCCCCCCCCACCTTGCCACCTTAAGGCCCCAAAGAGCCGCTCCAAACAGGGCTCGATGGTTCAGGCAACACCTGCTATGGCATGCGGTTCAGGTAGCGGAACGCAGTAAACATTACAATGTGATACAATGTGCTAGCATGTAGAGTTTGGCAGGCTTGGGTGCATGCAAATCAGTCCCACAAGTTTACGCTGCTGCTGTTTTAGGTCAAGCGGAGCTGTAAGCCAAATTGGCCGCAGCTTCTGTTTGACCCACCCATCCCACCCTGTACATAACCCGGCCTCCCGTGGAGTTCCCCGGTCATGCAAGGCTGGCGCAGTGATGCGACGTCGCGAGGTGTCATCCTTTACCGGAGTGTCCCGTGGATCGGATTTTCCGTGAGACGGGTGGATCCCATATGGTGGGGAAGCCAGTTGCGGAATTTCTACTTGTGTGTCACGAGATGCTGTGGGCAGGATATGGCTATTTGCGCGACAAGAACCCAATGCATTATCTTAGAGGCAGCTTAGGTTGAATGGGACGGAAGCTGATCCGAGAGATTGAAAAAGATCCGGAGCGCATTCGGTCAAGTAGTGGAACGCAGTGTTGGAATAATCAGGTGCTGTACATTTTTGTGAGCCTTGGGAGAATTGAAGCGTGTCAACAAAAATGCCGATCATGTTGTTCATTTGTTCATTTTTTGTGGTGGACGGCTGATAGCCGGTAAAAGATGTTGCTGGGTGTCTCTTGGTGCAAGCACATTGTTTCAAGATGAAAAATAACTCGCAGCAAGCCACCTTCGCGAGCAGGCGGGCGGACGTGCTTGCGTGCGTGTCCGTTTCATTGTTTTTTGAGTTCATCAGTTTGATGCGCCCTTATGTTTTTGTGTACACATGTTTGCACAGCAACCCCATCTTCAACGCTTGCTTGGAGAGTTCGTTTTGTCCATGGCACAAGGCAAGGTTGATTCCGAAAAGCCGCCGTGCCCGCCTCAGCGAGTTTGAGCTGACATGTTTTTCGCACCGGTTTCGCACTCCCTGCAATAACCGGCCGCGCCAAGGTTCCCAGCCGGGCAACGAGGGCAACGGAAACCGCTGTTGTTTCCTGTGAGTTGCTCTTTGGGGTTCGAGGTGTGAGAGCGTAGGCTGCGCGTATGCATCCAATTTTAGGAAGGATCAAGTTCAGCAAGGGTGTGCAACACTTGTACGCCTTGTGCAGCCAAAGGGCCTTGTACATATTGACTGCATTTGCTGGGCTGTGGCAATATGTTGCGATGATGTAGTGAGCGGAAGGGATGCCAAAAAGTACACATGCAGCAACTGGGGTTATGATGAACATCCCATTTTTTATCCGCTCTGACGCCACGCTTCGAAGGGGTGGAAAGGCATAGAACCCAACGTGATTCCACGAAATGTGCGTGGTCGGCTCAAGTCGGGTGCACGCTCCCACAGACACCGCCGATTGCTGCACAGTGTTTTGGCAGCAGAGTTGGACTTGCGCTGTGTGAGAGAGAGACAAAGAGGCGGAGCAATCGAGGGACGAACAGAGGCAGCTGTTGAAGAGGTGCATCAAGAGAATCTGAATCTTGTCCTTTGCTGAATGCATGCTACAGGCCATGCCTTCCAAGCGCCGAAACAATGGCCGCTCCAAGCACGGCCGTGGCCACACTGCGATCGTGCGCTGTTCCAACTGCGCGCGCTGCGTGCCAAAGGAGAAGTTCGGAACATGTCTAACGTCGGTCCGAAGTCTTGGAAATCATGCGTTCAGTCTGTAAAACGAGATGGTCCCCCCAAATAACGAGATCAGCATTTTTGTGTTTGAATGCAAAATTGTTGAGAAACGAGATTCAAGGCCCGACTCAACTGTTGTAAAACGAGATAGTAGATTTAGTCAGTTGGCCCCCCCCCCCCTCACATGCTCCGGAGATCTCCGGAGAATGTAAAATGAGATGGAACGAGATTGCAGCACCAGTCTGGGAATTTTGACCATAAGGCCAGACAAGAAGTTTTGTCCGCTGCTCATATGGTGCAAGATTACGGCCTATGTCCAGAGGCGATGCAGGAACGCAGTATTTTGGTTGCTGGGCAACCTGTAAGCTGTCATGACTTCACTACACGTCTTGGCAGAATGGACATGGTTCGCCAAAGGGTTCACAACAGCCCTGTGTAGGACAAGGCAATCAAGCGCTTTCAGGTCCGCAACATGGTGCCTTGGCGTAAGTCTCCATTCTTGTGTTGAATTCTGGGACCGAGATTTATAAGACCTGAAAGGGTCTACTGACCACGGGGCATGCGGGGCCACTAAGGTGGATGCCTCCTCGCAGCGAGATTTGCGCGAAGCCAGCGTGTATTCGAGTTTCATGCTGCCCAAGCTCTACATGAAGATGCTGTACTGCGCAGAGCTGAGAGGGGATGCTGTCAAAGACAAGCGTCAGAGAAAGGTTTACAAAAGGACGGATACCACCGAGATTGCATTTGAAGTTGCCTGGTCACTGACCTGCTTCCAAGATGAGACTGAAAATCAAATAAATGCCCTGCTAGGCGTGTCGTGTGCCATCCACGGCCGTGTGGTGCGAGTCCGCAACAAGGTGCTGCGCGCCAGCCCCGAAGGCCAGCAGCCGAGTGATAGAGGGTCGAGGCGGCTAAGGTGCGATTTATTGCAATCTACTTGGCGGGAGTGGTCCGACGGCTGCTTGCAAATGCAGCTCATGCGCAATCCCGGAGCGGTCAAGCAACCCTGTGGAAGGTCGCGTGTACAAGCCGCCGCAGAAGGCGCGGCGGGGCAGGAAGGGGCAGCTGAAAGAGTCTTCCGCTCAGGGATTTCTGCTTGGGACGTTCGGTGCACGCCGAGAACATGCAGCTTCGCGTAGTAAACCCTGAGCCACAAGGCTTAGGGCACGAGTCCGAAGCTCTGTGTGAAAGATGAACTACCACATTCATGCTAGCATTCTAGAAGGCCTTTTGCCGACAATCCAAAACTTGCCTGTGCTCCTTATCAGGGTGGCGGCAAGGGCAACTGAAGCGCAAGGCAGACAGAGACGAGCAGCGAGGAAGGCGTTTGTGGGACAAAAGGACAGGGCTGCTGTGACAAGCTCACGTGTTTGTCATGACTGCGCACTTGCTCTGTGATTCGACTTGTCCTCAGAGAGACGAGAGATCATGCATGGCTCAAGTTTTCACGTGCAATCATGCTGCTGTATCCAAGTCCTTCCAATGCCCCTTGCTGCGCCCGAATTCAGAATCTTGCATCAGGTCGCTTACTTGGAAGCAAGCGTCAGGGCCGTACAGACGTCAGGGCTCACGTGCTGCAATGTTGTGCTGCCATCCACGTCCAGCAAGCTTGGCCTGGCCCTTGTTGCCAGGGCATGTGTGATGGATAAGCAAGCAGTCCGGCAACGTGGCACTGAGAATTGCATGGCAGCTTCACGAATGTGTTCTCTCTCACAAAATGCCTGGCTTTTGCTCTCTGTTTTCATGTCTCCCTCACGTCAAGCGTGTTTCAGAAACATTCACGCACCTCGCCTGAGATCGCGCCTAGAGGAGTGGCAACAGATGCCCTTTCAGTATGTTTCAGTATTTGCAACAGGCTGCTGCGTCATTTTTTAGGTTTAGTGGCTTCTGCCAAGCCTGATCCCAGTTCAGCTATTGCAATGCTGCCGTCATGATATGATGCAAGGCTTCGCACAGTTCTTGCAGGACAAGGCTGCGAAATCTTGACTCCCCAAGTTTGATTTTGCGTCTGGAAGCCACATCATGAGTGAGTCAGCATGTTGTCTGGCATGTAATTATTGGCTTATCAGCAGCCCGCCCATGGTGAGTCGCACAGCAGCAAACAATAGCACCAAACTCCAGTCCGGCAATCGCTTCATTTACAAGTGGATGCACAAAGTGTCGCGTGCGACAGTTCGTGTAGGCTGTGTGCGTGTGGGGCTATAGGGATATCGATACATTCGAAGCCATGGATATCCAGTTCAGCATCCACCAGGAACTCTGGCAGGATGCTTGGATTGCAGCCACATCGGCAGTGCGGGCTCGAAAGCGCCAAACTGATCTCAACGTGCAGCAGCGTGTGGAGCGTCTTCTCGAAGAGCACGGCCCAAAAACAAGCAAGCCACTGACGCTGTGCCTCGCCGGCACTGAGATGCACCAGGTTCATCTTATTTCATGTTGCTGCAGACTGCAGTTTACTGGAGAGATCAGATGCATGGGCTTGTGAGGCGAGTGTACGGAACCATGATCAAGGGCTTCTGTGTCATAAACAATGACCGAGCACGCTCACTGCATGCAGACTGTGAACGTGTCGTCCTTCTCTTTGCTGAACGGCCTTATTTGGAAGGGCTGCAGCTCCCCAAGCTGCCCGTGTCAAAGAGGCAGCGCGTGGATGCTTTCACTCTTGATTTGGATTTGACAAAGGTGCAGGAGGCTGAAGCCTTTGACTGGACCCAGGCTCCTTTGGGAGACAGCCAATTACTTTCGTTGGACGCTCTTCCAGATCCAGGCGCTGTCCGAGCCAGTGCTCTGCCAGAAGTCTTGGCTCCGTCTCTTCTTGAAGAAAGTGGGCTGTTGGATGAGGTCTTCCCATCTGTGCATGCCCCAATTGTAACACATGGCGCTGGGCCAGGTGCTCTCCCCTTGCAACTGCCAGATGTGGCCACGCATGAAGCTCCAGGGGTGTTGGAGGCTCTGCATTTGGAGGCCCCCGTGGCACCTGGACCTGGATCCGAGGCTGCAGATGGAGCTTCGGTGCTTGATCTTCAACATGTAAGGAGGACGAAGCGCAGGCGGCTTCTGCGAACTCAACCCGCGCCCGGACACGTTTTTGGCTTCGACGTTGAGACTCAGATGCTCGATGCTGGGCTGGAGGCAGGCTGCTGTGTGCAATGCAAGGAACGCATGCATTACATTCGTGATGCCAAGATCTCGTGTGTGTGATTCTGTCATGTTGATTGACCTAGATTGACCTAATACGTGCAGCACAGGTCGGCCTTGCCGAAGCTTCTCCTACGCTTGCTTCCTTCGCTGCGGAACTTCGCTTCGAGCAATTTCCACGTCGAATGGGGCTGCTGTCTGCTATCATGGACGCACCATCCAGCCCTCTGCGACCGCTCGATTCGTTGCCACACCAGCTTGACGGCCCCGGACTTTCCGAAGGGGAGCATGAGGAGTTGCCTGAGATTCAGCCTTTGCTCGGCAACGTTGGAGATCAACTTCGGCCTGAGATGCTCGGTGCGGTGTTCGCAGCTCCTCCTCAAGGAGCAGCTTTTCTTGCAGCAGCAACTGAAGCTGCCGATGCTGCGACAGAAGCCCTGCTTGAGCTTCCCGAGCAGGCGCGCAATGATGTGAGTGAAGGAAATCAGGATGTGCAAACGGCACAAGTGGGCATGCTCATTCGCCGATATCTTACAGAACAGGGCGAATCTTTCCTGGATGACATGATGCCTCCGCAGACAACAGATCGAAGTACCGCAGCAAGAGCGTTTTCATCGCTCCTAGCGCTGGCCACGGGAGGTGGCCTTCTTGTCCAGCAGCGAGAGGCATACGGTCCAATTTTTGTTTCTCTGTGCTGACAGTGCAATCAAGCGGCAACTGAAACGCCGAATGCTGGGAGGGACCTTAAAGCATTGGCAAACGGTGGTGGAACCACACTCAGCCTGTGGCTCGGGATCCAGAGGTCGATCGAATTCAGTGAGGGGAATTCATGGGCCTGAGCAAACAGTCCCGATTCATCCGGAAAATATCACTTTATGAAACCTATGCCGCGCCAGCAAACAAGCGGTGCAGATTTGTCTCAGACGGTCTGCAGCTCCCTCGACGTACGGTGTGCAGACAGTGCACACAGGTGTACACCTTACACTCAGTCTCGATATAGAGGCGTATCTCTGTAATGTGATGCAAGCGATCGGAAAATGTTCAGCGCGCATCATGAAGTTCCAGTTGTTCGAAGCATTTGTCACACGCTTCGGCCAGAGTCAGTGTCACATGTCTGTGGTGCGACCGCCAGGCGCTCCTGGAGCTGCATCCCACAGGCCGAGACGGTGTGCTCGGCCATGCGCTTACCATTCTCACCTGCAAGCCTTTGGACAATGCAGGTGTTGTCTTTGCTGTGTCTTCAGAGCCAGCCTTGCGCATTCACCAGGTGAACTGCGCTAGAGATGTTGCGTTGGGATTGTGATTTGGCCGTGATGTAAGGTCCTCAAATCAGAAGATCAGGCTGTTTGGCTCTGTGTTCAGGGGTTAGTTTCAGCGTTCAAGGCTCATCGTCGACCCTCAAGCTATGTTTGGCTCAATGTACTGGCTTTCAAAAGAACCGTGTGCCTGGGCCTTCTTCGTGTTGTTTCATTTTCGATTCTGGGCAGCAACTGCATGCTTGCCAGATGCTGTTCCAGAAAGCGATCTTTCCTACATCAAAGATGACATAGGGAATGATATCGAAATCAGACTGGTGGCGTTCGACTGGCCTTCCGCGGAATTTGTCACAATTTTAAGCAACTGGGCATGGTGCTGTCAGCAACAGACTTTTGCTAGTTGTTTCCGGTTGCCAATACATGTTACTTGATTGCTAAAGGCAGCGGGCTTGTGGTTCGTGACGTGTACCATGCCATTTGAAATATGAACCTTATCTGCCAAACATTTGAAACGTCGCTCAGCACCAGGCAAAACGATGATCCAAGAGGTTCTGGGATACAAAGCGAGCATCAACGAGGTACGTGCTTCTCATAACATGGAAGCCGTGATGCCTTTGACGGGATGCGCGGATTTTGAGTGTTCCATCCAAGATTTGTCTGATGTCAGTCACATAGCTCTTGAAATCTCTTGAAGCTTGGCTTGGATCTTATGGCGTGGAGTACGAACGCTTCAAAGAGCGACATCCAGACTTGGCGCCCGAAGGTTCCATGGGCTATGCCGGTGAGGAGGCCATGTTCGTAAGTCCCCAACTGGTCGCTGACGCCTACGAGGATTCCGGTGTCTCACTGGACTGGTACCGAAGTTATAATTCTTCCAAGGTCTCAGTGAGGCAGTACTTCAGTTCACTGCAGGATCTTCCGATCGAAGATTTTGCTTTTTGCAACGACTCCACGAGGATGTGGGCAGATCCGATTTTCATGAACGACTCTGCCAGGTGGAGCGGTGATCTGGATGGTCTTGTTAGGGTGCCGAACTGTTACCATGCCAAGTGTCAAGCTTACGATCGCTTTTGGATTGCTCCGGCCTGTAGGCGGGCATGAAGGGTCAACCGTTTGAAAATGACGTGTTTGGAGCTTGAAGTCATGAGGTTCACGTCTGGTCAGCTTCAGCCCAAAGTATATAGGCAAAAATACTGCACATGAAACTTTTCCGGCACAGGCACAATATTTCGGAATGCGTGCCCATCATCTCCCAAGAGTGCGGATGCCCGTGGGTGCACACTTCTGTTAAACCAGCGCTAGGTCCACGGCCTATGCGATCCCGGCAGCAATTGGAATCCTGGACCAAAAGTATGAAACCTCCGCAGCTTCCCAAGAGTACTTCTACGAACTAGCAAGGAACTACCGTGTGCTGTCACATTGGTTTCGACCTGATACCTCTCAAGTGGCCTTCAATCCACAGCAGATAATTTTTCCGATTCACAGTGCCCGTGAGTGGGCTGTCGGCAACAAACGCACTGCCGCCATTGGATCGTACATCGGCAAGCTGGTGAATCGACGGCTGCGAGAAAAAGCTCGCAGCTTGATCACTTTTTTGGATAACCTGCAGCTGGAATTGATGGAAATGCAAGAGTATCTTGCCAAAAAGGATTCTTCAAACAGTTGGGAGGAAGTGGCTTGCCAATGGATCTTTGACAATCGACAACGGTGGGAGATGTGGGTCCCAAAGGACACCACTTGCTTCGCCGGTTTTGGCTTGATAGGTGTTGCAGAGAATGCTGTGACGTCACGAGAAGATGCGGCGGGCTGTGGCCACTGTGCGCCAGGAACCGTTTCATCCGCGGTGCTGGATGATGTTGGACGCACCGATGCATGCACTTCTTGTGAGGTTGGTGCATACCAGGAACAGGCCGGAGAGACGTTGTGCGTGAGATGTCCGGCGGGAAGGATTGCAACTACAGCTGGCCGTCCCCAATGTGAGGCTTGTCCACCAGGGACCTATGCGAATTCATCGGGCCTAGACATGTGTCATGTGTGTGGAACTGGCAGCATTCAATGGACTACAAGCCGAGTGACACAAGTCCGCGGAATCCCACAGTGGCTACAAATAGAAGCTGCCGTGTCTGAATCTTTCTGTCGCTGCATTCCTGGTTGGTTTCTTGGAGAGGACCAGACATGCCACGAATGCATCAAGGGAGCCTCGTGTCCGGGCTCTAACGATATTCATTTGATACCCGGATACTTTTCCTTTGCTTACGACCGTGGATCAATCTACAGGTGCTATCGCAATGCATTAGCCTGTCCAGGGGGTGTTCCAGGAAGTTGCGCGGAAGGCCGAGATAGCAGCAGCGTTGCATGCAGCGCTTGCTTACCCGGTTTGCATCCCACAGCTGAAGGCTGTGTACCATGCAGGGGACAGGACTGGCGGGGCGGGGTCGTGTGAATATTTGATAATATCTTGGAAGTCTGGTAGAGCGCAATTTTGCGGAGTTTTATGACAAGACTGCATAGACTTGTGGATTTGGTGCGGAGGCGGAGATGAGGAGGTTGTAGCATGGCAGTGCTGGTAGCTGGCCAGGACTATGTGATCTTGATTTTGGTCTGTGTCATCACCCTTGTGATCACTGGTTGTTCGCATGCATTTGTCCTTACGACCAACAACAACTTACAAGCTGGCTTCGCGAAGGTAGGCATCTACATTGGTCAGTTCGCAGTCGCCGTGCAAGTGACGGTGGTCATTCAAAGAATGGACATCGATGGCAGGCAAATCGTTTGCAATTACGCTTTGGACAATGGCGTCTTAATTTTTGTGCAGGCGTGGTTTTTGATTGGAAGTATTGTTTTTTTGGTTGTCTTTGTGTTGGTGTTGATGTTGTTGGTCATTTCTCAAGTTCTTGACAATGCCGAGTCTCAAGGAACCTTTCGTGTCTTTAATCAAGGTCTTCCAGATCGTTTCCATAGACGAGTTGATCCATTCCCTGAATGCCGTCAGCTGTGTGACACGTTTCGCGGCAGTTCTTGTTTCAGACTGTGGCAGCTCCAGTGGCGTTCATGATCGGACCAGTCCTGGTACATCTGGGGCATTTCTACATGAAGAGAAGAACGAAGGGAGGAAAGAAGCACAAGACGGCACTGAATGTGCATGTGTTGGGTGAAACATTTGGCTTCTTGTGCATGTTATTCTTCATTGGACTCTGTACAACAGTGTTGGAGCCCTTTGAATGCGTGAACCACCCCAATGGGGTATCAACTATGCGGACAGCCACTGATGCGGTGTGCAATTTCAGGGGCGAGCATCTGAGCTTGTCTTTGGTTGCAAGCGTTATGACCCTTCTGCCAATTGGTTTCTTCTCGGTGTGTGCATGGATTGTGCTGAGGGAACTACCCAATCGAGTTCACCGAATGGACGTGAAATTCATCCGTTCTTGCTCATTTTTGCTCTCGCGCTTTCGTCCAGGAAACCAATCCTTTGCAATTTTCCTCTTGGTGAGGAATGCGATTGTAGCCCTGGCACCTATCCTGCCTTCGACCGAGGCTGGCAGCTTCCTGGTATTTTCAATGCTTTGTCTGAACTTGTGTTTGACTGCTTTGTTCCAGCCATGGTTGTCGCTGCTTGCCACCTACATAGACATGCTGGCGAACTTTGCTCTCCTTACCATCCTTCTCTATGGTGCCTTTTATGCAGACAATGTGCACGGTCCAGCTGGCGTGATGGTTTGCTCCCTGGTGCTTTGCAGCATCCTGATGATTTTTCTGAGCCTGGCCGTCCAAGCATTGGCAGAAGCTTGGTCCAGAAAGCGAGCAAAACGATATGACTTCTTCTTGACCCATCACAAGAAGAGCTGCGGCAGCATGGCTCGCTGGATGAAATTGGAACTCCAGCAGCGTAGCGTGGCCAGTCCGTGTTTTTGGACACTGATGACTTGTCAAATCTATCGCATATCTTCAGCAGCGTGGCCCACAATGTGGACGTCCTGGTTGTCCTTGCTTCCCCTGGTCTTTGGACTGGTGATTTGCCCTGTTTCTGGGCGGATATGGGGCGGCGCCTGCCCCAAGGAACTCTGGTAGCATGGATTCCTTCGCGCAACAAGCGGACTGAATGGACGGCTCCAGCATGGAGCGTACCTGCTGATTTGCTCAGACACCTCAATCATCTCGCCGATGCGGCCTGCGCCGGCGCATTGAGGCCCCTTCAAAGGGATTGGAGGCTCGCTGTCAACAGGAGGGATCTTGCACTAGACTGGTCCTCAGCCGCATTGGCGTGCTTGGGTGAGGCAACGAAACCTTTTGTTGAGATGCACAGGCGGCATTACGGTGGCCTCCACGTTGATCGTTGAGGTACTGCGTGGTTTTCGCGCGACGTGATGACAGCCTTTTTCTGCAATTTTCGCTGCTCACATCTTTGAGCTTGCAACTGCCGACCGGCAAAATGTAGAAAGTTGTGGTGGTGGCCTTACCCAAATTTTCCTTTCCTGATGCCATATTTATTGCTGCCTTTGACATTGTAGTGGGGGACGTGAACGACTTAGCAGCCTATGGACTGGGAAGGTCGGACCTGCGAGAATCTTGGAGAAAACTGAAAGACCAGAAAACTATTACTCTCCCTGAAGACTTTCATGCTTCTGACGTGGCCGAACTCATCCGACAGCTTTGCTCTCACCATGGGCTTGGTTTGCTTGGTGGACAGCTGGGGTCCTGCCATGATTCAGCTGATTCGTATTTTAGCTCTTCCTGCATGATTCTGGCTAACCATGATGACATGGAAGCGCTGGCGACAGCTCACGTGTTGAGGACCTGGATGTTTCCGCAGTTATTGCAGAGACTGATTGCGGGACCCTTTGTGCTTTCCCCCTCTGAGCGCGTCATGGCCGTGGGTGAAGATGACGTGAAGTTCTTGATTGTTGTGTGCACCAAGGGCTGTCTCACAGTTTCTGAGATGATTGGTTGGCTTATTCAAGCCTATCGATCTTCCCGCTGCTGTCGTACCTTGCCGTACCTTGCCAATTATTGCCGATGCTTGTTGTTGCTTTCAGGCATGCTTTGATCACTTTCTGTCTTCCTGCTGAACTCTGCACTATCCGATGCTCCGCACGGTGTCGAATTGAAAGCTTACAGTACTTTTGTGATCTGTTGTGGGAAACGGCGGAGCGTTCTGCTTTCTACATTAATAGCATAGCCTCGCTGAGCCTGCTTGGGTAGGTCAACAACCCCATTTCTTTTCTTAATTTGGATGGCTGAACAACGGACGCTAAGGATGATGAGTTTGACATTCCCAGTGCAGCGCTGGACTTTCACATGTTGGCTCACTGTCCAGGTGTGCTGGTGGAAGATTTTTCAAGCTCAGCCTAGCTTTCTGTGCTCAGGGTTTTGTTTGGACAGATTGCGCCACGCTTTTCCACTCGATATTCGCCAGAAAGGACTTTGAAGGCAAAGGCCGAACGGCTAGCCGAAGGGCTGTGGGATTTGCAGCCTCTAGGGATTGCCCTCTCCAGTCCGCCGTACCTCAGCGACCGAAGCTTCGATGAAAACAGTTTCTATCAAGGACCCTTGGTTTGCAAAAGGGCTTCCAAGTCTCGACTTTTGCAACACCCGGCCCCGAGGTTTGCCCTTCAATGGGAGGGACACCAAAGACTGAGACTGAGGGACACCAAAGACTAGGGTCATCTCTTTGTGACTACAGGTCCAGATGAAGCGGTGAAAGACGTGGAGGAGATGGTCCAAGCAGAGTTTTAAGATGTTTTAAGATATGTTGAGATTCGTTGAGATTTTCCAGTTTGGGCTTCAATCGGCTCGACCACCTTGTGCATCGTGAGCTTGAACAGCTCCACAAATTCCTCATGAGCCTGCATTCGCCTGCCAGAGATGCGTGAAAAAGCTGAGTTTGAGTTGTTACGTCATCGTGGCCGTTGCGCTTTGGTTTCTATGTTTTTGCGAAGCCTTATAGTGCTTGGCGAGCCAACTGCGTCAAGTAAGAAACCCAACTTAGAATACACTCCGCTTGAGGCTGAGGCTCTGGGCCAACGGCAGCCTGGATTGGCTTCGTCATTTCAAAACGGCAGCGGCCTCGCGCAGTTCGCAACCTCCAGCAGAGCGGATGTGTAGGCATGTGCGAGCACATTTTTTTCATCGTCTTCTGCAAGAGGTGAAGCTAGAAACATCCCTGTGAACTGCTCTGCTTTGTGCTTGAGCATGCCATAAGCCGCACTCACACAGCTCCAAGCTCACGGAGCGCCAATTGGGCCAAGCGCAAATGGGCAACACAGAGCGTGCGAGGCGTGTGCGAACCAGCAAGGTAACGCATGATGAGGCAGAGCGGCACTAACAATGGCTCCCTGCAAGATTTTGACCCCATGGCAACGGCGGCATCATTCTTGTTCTGCTGGGAGGCTAGCGGATTTGGCACGATGCTCGTCCCCTTGCAAAGGCTTAGGATGTCCACGCATTTCTGCACCCTGCCAACTTCCTTGGCATGGCATTCAACATGGCCTAAATGTGGAGATGTACAGTCATATCCAGACTTACAGCTTCATGGCAGGTTGCGCAGACTGCCAGGCTCAGCAGGAACCTTACGCGTGTCCCGAGAGGGGGTCGTGAGCGTCTGACACACTCTTGTGCTGTGTAGAGCCTTGTAGGTTAACGGACTGAACAGCTGTAGCTGTACCAGTACCATGCCGTGCTTCCTGCCATGTTTTTGTGCCGGTGTGAAAGGCTGAATCAGACTGGTGTTGGCTTCCGTGGTTACTGAGACAATTTCTTTTCCATTTGGTTCTCCATCATTCTACTTATAATATATCCCCCATGATAACCCCCAGTTTCTGTTTTATTCTCCATTTGATTTTCCATTTGGTTCTCCATCACGTTGTGAGGTTAAAGGAATCACCGTCGGGAAGCCGGAAGGTGGGTCACAGCCTCAGCAAGCCAGCCTGGGTTGCAATGCAAGAGATTTCGGAAGAGTAGAGGTACTTTATGACGGCGATGGCTTATGGCGGTGCTTTGAATTAAGTCCAGTACGTTCTGCGTTCTAGTTTGTTCCAGTCAACTGCTCTCGTCCGCCGCTTTGACTCGAAGCCTACAACCTTGAACTCTGAAGTGCTAGCGAGTGGCTGCATCCAACATCCTTTGCATAGTACTTCAATCTATAGCCCAAAAGCTCCAGCCGAAAGTTGAGACCCCTTCACCATGGAGCCTCTTCATTGGTAATGCGCACGCCAGTGTAAGCTTTCTGTCTTGCGCTCCACAGCATGTCTCCATGTCTCCGCAGCTTTGCTTGAGACAGCTTTAGTCTGAACCCACAGGCGTATTAAAGAGAAATGTGGGCTCCCGCGTGGCAGGCAAGGCCACAACAGTGGCAGCCACAACAGCAGTGGCAGCCACAACAGTGGCAGCAGTCACAGCAGTGGCAGCAACCACAGCAGTGGCAGGGGCAGCAGGCGATGCCCTGGCAGCAGCAGCATCAGCAGCATCAGCAGCAGCAGATGCAACCCATGGCCTTTCAGCAGCAGATGCAACAGATGCCCTCGGAGGGTTATGTGCTAGCATATGTCCCAGCTGCGGGGTGCATGGGCCAGGTGGGCCCGATGGGGCAAATGGGCCAGATGTCCCAAACTTGGCAGATGGGCCAGATAGGCCACAACGCCATGAATATCTACCAAATGACTCAGCCGGCGGCAATGGCGCCGATGAACTCAATGGGCTCAATGGCACCCACAGCTGGGCACTTTGGGTCCATGAAGGGTGTGGGGAAAGGCATGGGCAAGTACTCCTTTCCTCGGCCGCAGGGCCTTGGTCCCGATGGCGACAACAACTGGAGGCGCAGACCTTCCGACAGCATAGCGGTGCCACAGAAGGCTGAGGCCAGTGAAATGTACATCTCCCGCGCGGCAATGTCGGGCTCCCTCACTAAAGCAGGGCTTGCAAAGACTGGTCAGCCGGCCTCTAGCACGGAGCGCTTCGCGCTGAAGGACAGCCTTCTGCTTAGAACACTTGAGCTGCTGCGCGCAGAGCTTGTGTGTGGAGTGGGCATAGGAGTGGTTCAGTAATCTAGATTGTGCCCTCATCAGCATGGAATCAGACGCAAGCGGGAAGCTGTGTTTGAGACAAGTGGCCCTCAAAAGATGGGGCTGAGTTTGGGGTGCTGGACATTTTCTGTAACCCCCATGCGCGCTCTGTTGGGTATAGCTCTCAACAGGAGGATGAAAAGCAGCTGGCTTCCGACGACGAGCAGGCGGGCCATGAGAATGAGTTTGAGGTGCTGGACATGTTCTGTGACCCCCATGCGGGCTTTCTTGAGCTGTCATAAGATGCTCTCTGTTGGTAACGTTGGGTATCACATAGCTCTCAAGAGGAGGCTGAGAAGCAGGTGGCTTCCGACGAC